TCTACTAAAAGGTTGGAGAGTTCGGAGGCAACAAGTGATTGTCACTCACCTACAGTTTATGGATGATATCATTCTCTTTTGTGAAGGGGAAATTGAGGAGATGGATAATTTGAGATTGGTGGTGATGCATTTTGAGAGAGTCTCCAATATGAAAATCAATTGGAACAAGAGTTGTGTAGTTGGTGGCTAGGGCTTTAAGTTGTGAGGTAAGTGGTTGGCCTCTGGTATATTTAGGTCTGCCCCGGGGGGGAAATCCTATAATAGAAAACTTTTGGTACCTAGTTTTAGAAAGATTCACTAAAAAGTTAGCAGGGTGGAAGAGAAATTATATCTCACTAGGGGTAGAATCACTTTAATCAAGTCCATTCTGGCAACCTTCCGGTGTATTTTCTGTCTACCTTTAAGTTTCCTGCCAAGGTTGCCAATAAGTTAGAAAAGCTCATGAGAGATTTTCTATGGGAACCGGGTGACTCAAAAAAGGACCATTTAGTGAAGTGGGAAGTAGTTTCTAGGAAAAAGGAAGCGGGGGGTCTAGGCATTGGCAATATAAGATTAAGAAATGTAGCTTTGTTAGGAAAGTGGTTGTGGAGATTTCCTTTGGAGCAAGACAGTTTGTGGCACTCGGTGGTGGAAAGCATTCATGTGATGGCAGCTAATGGATGGGATGCTGTCGTCGACCCTAGGGCTTCTCATTTCTCCCCTTGGAAAGCAATTGCTAGAGTCTTGCCTTCCTTTCAGCCTTTCATCAGATTTGATGTGTGCTCAGGTAATAAAATTCTGTTTTGAGAGGACCTTTGGCTTGGGAACACCCCCCTTAAGGATAGATTCCCGGTAATATATTCTCTTGCCCCAAATAAATTCAAAACCATATCCTCACTGTGTGTCTGAGGGGACTTGGGATTTGGGTTTGAGAAGAGGCTTGAGGGATTTAGAATTGGTTTCTGTAGGTGATATTCATTGTGTTGAATTCAATTTTCCTAGATCTTTCCTACCCAGATAGTAGAATTTGGAAAGAGTCCTCTTTAGGGACTTTCTCTTGTTCATCTTTTTTCAACGCCTTAGTTCAGTCTTCTGTTGTGTTTGTCTCTTTTCCTGCTAAAGAAATCTGGTATTCTCTTGTGCYGCTAAAGGTTAGGGCTTTTTGCTGGGAAGTGGCTCTTCAAAAGATCTCAATACTATGGATGTACTTCAAAGAAGAAGGCCAGACCGGAGCCTTTCCTCACATGTCTGTTACCTTTGCTTAAGAAATGGTGAGACATCGACTCATCTTTTGATTTTTTGTCCTTTTGCTTATTATTTGTGGGATTGATTTTCCTCTTTGTTTGGTTATAGATGGAACCCCCCTTGGGTGTGCTGAACCTTTTTTACTCTAGCTTCTTCCGACAACCAAGGAAAAGGGGTAGGGTAATGTGGAGAATAACAAGAGCAGCCATCCTATGGTCAATTTGGAAAGATAAACAATAGGATCTTCCTAGGGCAAGAAAAGTCCAAGGAAGCACTTGTGGAGGTTGTCACCATCAAGGTTATGCATTGGTTGAAAGTACATCATCTCTTCAAGGACTTCTCTTCAGCTGACTTAATTAGAAATTGGAGTGCTATAGCTGTATCCTCGCCTTCCTCCCCTGTGATACAAGAATGTTGGGTACCACCGCTTCAGTTTAGGGTGAAGCTAAACTTTGATGGAAGCTCCTTGGGTAATCCAGGTTAGTCGGGAGTTGGGGGTGTGTATAGAAACAAGGAAGGAATAGTCTTGGCCCTTTACTCAGGCCCAATTGGGGTGGGAGATTCATTAAGGGCAGAAGTAATGGCCTTACTTAAAGGTTTGAAACTGGCAAAACAATGGGTAATGCAACAATTAGAAGTGGAAGGAAACTCCAAGCTGGTAATAGGGTGGATGCAAGCTGGAAACCTGGGAGTGTGGTCTCTGTTGAGTTGGGCCTAGTTGTTTTTTTATTCTTATTTTAAGCTATTTAGTTAGGAAGTTGTTGTGCTTTAGGCCCATTAGTTTATTTTTTTAAGTTGTGATTGTTTAGCTACATTAGTAGCCGCCCTACTAAGGGCATCCTTGTAATATCTCATCCTTTAAGTTAAGTATAAATATAATGAGGGGTTGGCAGCTAGGGTTAATTCAAGAATCCTGGTTGACTTCCTACTCTTTTCTCTCTTTCTTTTCTTCTCTACTATTGAAATCTTTATC